CACAAACACACACACATACTAGATAAATACATACAAAATATATACACCCATACATATATACATACAAACATGCACACATAATATTAAGAAAAACACTTATCTAAGAAATCAACTACAGCCACATTTCTATGTCAAGAATATCCCCTACAAGCTAACCCCCATTCACACACCTAGATATATATAGTTAGCCCAAAGCAGCAATAACCGTTAAGAAAACAGAACGATTGTTGCGTGTCCTCTATAGGACGATTCAGAACCAACCGAATCTGTTTGCTGTTTGTGATTTCAGGAAGAAACTTTGCGTTCACTTGTTTTCCGATTGCTGAACGGTTCATTCATTGATCGAGCAATATTTCTCAAAGTTCGCCACACGCCTGACGTTTACTACGAGATGGACTGAGCTCCAGGTTGGGATAGCAATGGGATATACGATCTCGCCAATACTGTTCGTTATGGCCATGCAGGTCATGTTAGACCGGGCTGCCGGCTACTGGCATGGCCTTCAGATTGGGGACCACTGGATGGCGTCACTGCGTGCCTTTATGGATGACACAACTATCACAACAGTGAAGTTGAATGGTGTGGAATGCAGTTCAAACCGCAGAAATCAAGAAGTTTGTTAATTCTAAAAGATAAGTTGGCGGCAGTCAGTTTTATGGTGGCAAAGAATTGGATTCACACGGTTCTAGAGGAACCGATGAAAAGCCTCTGCCGCGAAGTTATCCGATACAGGCCTGCTCGCGATCGAGCGATGCAGTCTGATGGGAACGTTTAAGGTCTGGTGTCTCTAATTTATGTTGATTACAAAGCTCCTCTGAGCGCTGCTAGTGCACGAGGTAAGCATGACTGCAGTGGAAACGATGGAGACAAAAGTCAACACTGCCATTATAAAATGGCTTGGGGAAATGGCTTGTTTGACCGATGATGCTCTGTATTGTAAACAGGCGATGCTGGCACTTCCGTTCAAGTCAATAACAGAAGAGTTTAAAGTCGGCAAATTAAGACTCGCGATGATGCTGCGCGAGTCTTTAGACCCCACAGCAGTGGCAGCTGGCCAGCCGCTCTAAAGATAGGCAAATTAAGACTCGCGATGATGCTGCGCGAGTCTTTAGACCCCACAGTGGCAGCTGGCCAGCCGCTCTAAAGATAGGCAAGAAATAGAAAGTCCTAGATGCGAAAGAATCTGCCCAAGATGAACTGAAATTGAAAGAAGTCATGGGGTCAACCCAACGTGGCCTAGGGCACGGGAAAGTCAGTGGGTTGTCCAAAGCCACAGCCAAAGTGGCCTGAGACATGGTAATACAGCAGATAACACAGCAGCAGGCGTACTGGGCACATAGGGCTAGACCTATACTTTATAGACCAATCGGTACTCGGTGGGTGATGTGGTCAACATCACGCAACATATGTCCAGTCGATCAGACACAACCCCACATATGTCCAGTCCATCAGGCACACGCCACATATGTCCAGTCGATCAGACACACGCAACATATGTCCATTCGATCAGACACACGCCACATATGTCCAGTCGATCAGACACACGCCACATATGTCCAGTCGATCAGACACACCCCACATTTGTCCAGTCGATCAGACACACCCCACACATGTCCAGTCAATTAGGCACACCCCACAAACGTCCAGTCGATCAGACACACCCCACATATGTCCAGTCGATCAGACACACCCCACACATGTCCAGTCAATTAGACACACCCCACATATGTCCAGTCGATCAGACACACCTCACCTATGTCCAGTCGATCAGACACACGCCACATACGTTCAGTCGATCAGACACGCCCTACATATGTCCAGTCGATCAGACACACGCCACATATGTCCAGTCGATCAGACACGCCTTACATATGTCCAGTCGATCAGACACATCCCACATATGTCCTGTCGATCAGACATACCCCACATATGTTCAGTCGATCAGACACACCCCACATATGTCCAGTCAATTAGACATTCCCAAATGTATACAGTCAGCCAGATTTTTAATTAAAAAAAGTAAAGTCGGGAGACTGAACCAGCGTCATTGCACACGGTTATAAACCATAAGTGCTCTGCCACCAGTACGGACAGCTGATAAGAATTGTCCGCCTGTGTCGCCGTTCGCACGTAACTCTGTAGCTACAGCGACGTTCCTCCATTTACCCCAGAGTGTAAACTCTAGTCAGATATGCCCACATATATCCAGGCAGCAAAGTTCACTTATATCCAGTCAGTCACATACACAAGTCCACTCAACCCCACACTCCCACACACGCCCAGTTAGACAATCCCACACAAGTCCACTCAACCACACACTCCCACACACGCCCAGTTAGACAATCCCACACAAGTCCACTCAACCCTACACTCCCACACACGCCCAGTTAGACAATCCCACACAAGTCCACTCAACCACACACTCCCACATACGCCCAGCTAGACAATCCCACACAAGTCCATTCAACCACACACTCCCACAATACAATCATATACTTACTCTGCTTGTACTGAACCAGATTATGATGCTGAGGGGTGAACACCAAACAGATGAAACACATGTCCGGCCTGAAACAGAATCAGAATATTTCAACTCCAGTGCGTCAAACTAACCAAGGGACGTTGGTACACACATTTATATGCAATCTTAAGGGTCGCTTGTCTAAAACACATACACACACACGCACGTACGCACGCACGCACACACAATGGGCAAGATTTTAAACAGTTTAAATTAAATCACGTCTGGACAAAATATTACTGAATACAGTTACAGCAGAATGTCAAACGATAGGTCTTAGTTTGAACATTTGAACAGCAGAAAAAAAATGAATGGTTTTTACAAAGACAATATGCCTCCCATCCCTCCCCCGCCATTTACCAGCAGCGTAAATTGGGTAAGTCTGAATTAGGTCGGCACATTTCAGTGTCTTAAATATCACCCCTCCCCCCTCAACCCCTAACCCAATGCAACAGGAAAGTAAATGTGATATGTATCAACGAAAGCGACATATTTTCATATTTCTGTCTTGAATATACTTTTTTTTTTTCGCCCACGCAAACAGCACAGTAAAAAAAAAAAAAAAAAACAATTTGTGCTTTATTAATATCGTACCCCAAACAGGGGAAATCCACAGGTCACGGGACAGTCTAATATATATTTCAGGGGGTGGTACATAGGGGGCGGCATGCAGTTGTGGGACCTAGGCTGCACTCTCTTGCGGGACGTGAGTGGGTTGGGGTTAGAGCCAGTTATAGATGTTTTGGGGTCGTTAAAAGCATCATAAAGCTGGGAATCAATGTCTTACCACCCTCTAAAATGTTGGACTGTCCTGTGACGTCATCTTAGGTAGGATATTAATAAGGCACCCAAAAATATGATTTTAATAGGTTAACCAACCTTGTGCTACTTGCATAAATAATAAAGCGTACGCCTTTTACGTGACATAACGGGAACAGTTCAGCTCAAAGATTTCTAACCAAACAAAAATATTTATAAACATATCAACTGCTTCTATCTTAAAAAGTAACTGTTTCATAAATTAATGGACAGAATTTTTAAAAAGTTAAACAAAATTATACTTTTTGAGGGGACGGGGTGGGGGGGGGGTGGGGGGGGGGGTTTACTGATTATAATTGTAACAGAAAGTCAAGTAAGTAAGTAAGTTGTACCCCACCAGGACTTCGTACAAGCGATAAACACCCGGTTTAACAAAGTGCCACCATGCAGACGAGGATCACCCGTAGAGAGGTCCCGGAAACCCCGTTCAGCCGTTAGGCCATATTTCAGGCCCGACTATATTTAGGACCCCCCAGCAAAAGCCAGAGTGGGAGAAACACTCGGAAATTATGAAACATCTATATCCATTGGTGGAAGACCACTATGTAATTCAAGTTTTGCAGGCGGCATAGATCTCATGGCTATTTCCGAAGCAGAACTCCAAGAACTTACTTCACAATTAGAGACTGTGGTAAATATGACATGGATATTAATTCCGAGTAAAGCAAAATGTGGTAAACAGCGACAATAATCAAGTACCTACCAACATGCAAACAAAGGGGACAAAATAGAAAAAAGCCTTTGAATAACCCCGCCGCCACATTTGTAACGATGGTAACAGCCCCGATGTACCAAAGACATCAAAACAAGACGATATGGTAACAGCCACGATGTCCCAAAGAAATCAAGTCAAGACGATATGGTAACAGCCGCGATGTCCCAAAGAAATCAAGACAAGACGATAATGTAACAGCCGCGATGTCCCAAAGAGATCAAGACAAGACGATATGGTAACAGCCGCGATGTCCAAAAGAGATCAAGACAAGACGATATGGTAACAGCCGCGATGTCCCAAAGAGATCAAGACAAGACGATATGGTAACAGCCGCGATGTCCCAAAGAAATCAAGACAAGACGATATGGTAACAGCCACGATGTCCCAAAGAGATCAAGACAAGACGATATGGTAACAGCCACGATGTCCCAAAGAGATCAAGACAAGACGATATGGTAACAGCCGCGATGTACCAAAGAAATCAAGACAAGACGATATGGTAACAGCCACGATGTCCCAAAGAGATCAAGACAAGACGATATGGTAACAGCCGCGATGTCCCAAAGAAATCAAGACAAGACGATATGGTAACAGCCGCGATGTACCAAAGAGATCAAGTCAAGACGATATGGTAACAGCCGCGATGTCCCAAAGAAATCAAGACAAGACAATATGGTAACAGCCGCGATGTCCCAAAGAAATCAAAACAAGACGATATGGTAACAGCCGCGATGTACCAAAGAGATCAAGACAAGACGATATGGTAACAGCCACGATGTACCAAAGAGATCAAGACAAGACGATATGGTAACAGCCACGATGTCTCAAAGAGATCAAGACAAGACGATATGGTAACAGCCACGATGTCCCAGCTGTATACAATGTGAAAGAGCAAATTCAGCATCACGGTAAAGAACAATATATATAAATCACCGGTTGTCTATGTTCCTATAGGGATGTGAGAGTTGGACTCTAACTGAGGGATTTGGAAAGGAGAATTCAGTCTTTCGAAGTAAATGCTATAGAGCATTTAACGAATTAGTTATTGGAACAGAAAAATTACAAATATGTGAGAGACAAAATAAACATATTTGCAGGACATCAGGAGTCTCTCTTGGCGTTGGTAAAACATCGAAACCTAGCTTGGTTCCGGCACGTAGTAAGACATAATTTATTTTCAGAGACTGAAGGAACGATTAGGGTGGGGTGAACTGGGGTGGGGGGGGGGGGTGGTGGGGGGTTAGTTAAAGAAGAGGAGGGCAAAGAAGAGCCTGAAATGACAACATTAATAAATGGACAGGACTAAGTTATCATACACCTGTTCCTCACACGGAAGACAGTGAAAGATGGCGGGTTTTGTGTGCTGGTAGTTGCAACAATAAACAATACACCCCCACAACCCCAGCGAGTCAATAGGTTAGGTTAATTATTGTCTATAATTTTAGGAAAAACATAATATGCACTTTACTACATGAGTTTCTGGAACTTTCTGACCCTACTAACGTAGTTATCTTTACTTATTTACTATTTGTTTTGTAGTCGTCAGCGCGAATGGTCATTAGTCACATAGGTTGTAAGTTGCACAGACTGGAAGTTAAAGAGAAAAAACATTTTAAAATGTAGAAAGGTTTAAACAAAATCAGCATTTAACAAAAGCATTTTATCACTGTCAACTGAGGTAAGGAAAGGAGATCTTGAGAGCTCTAAGTTGAGCCAATCCTGATACATGCAAGTGACCCCTGGACAGTTAACCCATTAATGAAACAAATTGTGTGCAAGCAGCAGAGGTGGGGTCTTTAGAGTGAATGATGAAAACATATCAAATAGATAAAACAACAATTTAAAAAAAAAAAAAAATTATCTCGCTAATAGACGTGACTGCCATCTCAAAAGGAGACAGACCGACCGACCGACCGACCGACCGACCGACCGACCGACCGACCGACCGACCGACCGACAGAGAGAGAGAGAGAGAGAGAGAGAGAGAGAGAGAGAGAAGAGAGAGAGAGAGAGAGAGAGAGAGAGAGAGATAGAGATAGATAGATAGATAGATAGATAGATAGATAGATAGATAGATAGATAGATAGATAGATAGATAGATAGATAGATAGATAGATCGATCGATCGATCGATCGATCGATCGATCGATCGATCGATCGATAGATAGATAGATAGATAGATAGATAGATAGATAGATAGATAGATAGATAGATAGATAGATAGATAGATAGATAGATAGATAGATAGATAGATCGATCGATCGATCGATCGATCGATCGATAGATAGATAGATAGATAGATAGATAGATAGATAGATAGATAGATAGATAGATAGATAGATAGATAGATAGATAGATAGATAGATAGATAGATAGATAGAAAGATAGATAGATAGATAGATAGATAGATAGATAGATAGATAGATAGATAGATAGATAGATAGATAGATAGATAGATAGATAGATAGATAGATAGATAGATAGATAGATAGATAGATAGATAGATAGATAGATAGATAGATAGATAGATAGATAGATAGATAGATAGATAGATAGATAGATAGATAGATAGATAGATAGATAGATAGATAGATAGATAGATAGATAGATAGATAGATAGATAGATAGATAGATAGATAGATAGATAGATAGATAGATAGATAGATAGATAGATAGATAGATAGATAGATAGATAGATAGATAGATAGATAGATAGATAGATAGATAGATAGATAGATAGATAGATAGATAGATAGATAGATAGATAGATAGATAGATAGATAGATAGATAGATAGATAGATAGATAGATAGATAGATAGATAGATAGATAGATAGATAGATAGATAGATAGATAGATAGATAGATAGATAGAAGATAGATAGATAGATAGATAGATAGATAGATAGATAGATAGATAGATAGATAGATAGATAGATAGATAGATAGATAGATAGATAGATAGATAGATAGATAGATTTACATTGAGGCAGAACAGATAAATAATATTGCATGCCGAAACTAACAACGCCCCTATATAATTTAATGGAACAGTCACACTGCTTGGGAAAATAAAAAACCCACACTGCAAGCAATGTAATCATATATATAAATATATTCATATAAATATCTCTCTCGGCTATAAACCATTAGAATTCAATAGGAAATTGCATGCGAAATTTATAGGGAAAGCTCCCAGACTGCTGTTTTCCCACAGAGCAATAATAGAAAGTAGAATATTCGGTTTGTCCGTCATTTGTCTGTTTCGCGTGTTTACTGCGCAAGAAATTCCATTTTTGTTTACACCAGCAGGGGGACAAATGTCAAACCTGGTATCATTATGTCTGTCAAGGAAATGCAAAAACATGAGTCGCAGTTGTGCAGTGGGTAGTGCACCTGCCATTCGGATTGATGGTCACAAATTCGAAAATCCATCAACGATTTTTGTTTAAATGACATGAGATCCAATGTCGGATGAGTCTGCACTGCCTAACAAGAAATGTAACGGTAAGGTAA